TATGGAACCGAGTCTCAAATATGTCAATAACTTCTTCAGTATTTGAATGTGTACAAAACAGCATTGTAGGAGGAAGAGCTGAGTGTTGACTTGACAGAGCCGGGTGTCTCAAATATGCAAAATGTAAACAACAACAAACAGAATGTGAGGACCTTGATTAAATATTCCAGGCTTCCTCCCCCACATCTAGTGTCGATTTTTATCTTTTTCTTTTTCACTTTCTTGGAGAAGACCTGCAAGAAAAGCCTATGGAGCTTGCTTACTCTGAAATATGCACTAGTAAATATTGTTGCTCATAAATCATTTATCATTCTTCCAGTCATGAGCCTTTTCTATGCTTCAGTGAAACCCAGTCAACTGGTATTAATGGTGGCTGCTGCTGCTGCAAAAAAAGGAAAACTCATTAGCATTAATTACTTGTTTGTAGCTGAAGTTGCACAGTGATAAAATATTAGTTGAAAATGGTTCTAAGTTCTGGATGAGCCTGGCTGACAGACCAAAGAAAGATCAACATGAGAAGGCTGCAATATAAGGGGCTAATTGAGTTGGCTTAATTTAACAACAACAACCAACAGCAAGAGACACCTCTGTCTTGAAGCCTTTAACTCTTGGTGCTTGCTTGATTGCTGCTCAGAATTGAGAGTCAGAGCTCATCTGTGAGTACCTCCAGATGATGATCTCTTAGTGATGCTGGTGAGCAAGGGAGCTGTACTCAGCCCTCGGGACTGAGAATTTCCGTTAGCTGAATTTGTAGTTGCAGCGACAAGCTGGTAGGAAGGAGAGACTGATATAAAAACCTTCAGGATGACCCTTTCACTTGTTTCTTGCCCCCTGCTTGATTTTGAGACTACACGTAGACTTGATGCCAAAACCTCCCTGCTCTGTTGATCTTTGACAGAGGAGGTGGAGTTCATAGCTGAGAGGTGCTGGAGAGAAATAACTTCCCACCTTAATTCTTCCTCCCTTTGTACTGTTTGCTGCTTGCATGAAATGTGGTGCATAAAGAGGGTAGCTGTTATCTGTGTTCCGAAGCTGGGTGGATGATGATTAGACTTGGGTGATTTGCCTGATTACGACTGGTGCCCACCGCCGGCTGTGGGGATGAGATCGCAGCAAGGCTGGGCTGCTGGGGCGGCACGACCAAGAATAAAAGCCTGTGCCCTGTCATGGTGCCAGTGTTCGATCAGGTTTAGCAGAGCAGCTCTTTGTAAGGAAATGAAAAAACAAACCTTTGAGGAAATTAAAAGCAAATGGTGAAAAATTAGATGCAACAGAGGGAAGGCTTATTGCTGCCAGTGCCCAGGGGCGCGTTGCAGTTCTCAGTAGTGCTAATAACAGCAAGGAGATACAAACTGTCAACGTACGCGTTCACATACAGTCCATGCACTTCAGAAGTGTTTCCAGTATTGTGGTAGGCCAGTTGAATTCATGAACTGGAGAAATGAGGGAAGTGTGATAGAAAGCCTATGCGTGTGCTTAGCAAAACTTCCAGTTGTTGGTGCCTCTATCTGCCTCTTGCAACGGGGGTCAAAAGTGGAGAGGAGAATTTGGGTGTCTTGGTCAGCAGTAGGGTGATCATGAACTGGCAGCATCTGTGCGTCTGACTGCAGCGGTGGGATTATAGATGTATAGCACAATTTATCTTCGGCAGAAGACAGGAAAATAGAATTAATAATGCCTCTATTTAGAGTAGGGAGCAGTTTAGTTACCATAATAAAAAAAGATGAATGAATGTAGACAGAGGTTATGAAGATGATTAGGACAATAGATAACTTGTCTCATCAGAGAAAATTAAAATTTTTTTTTTTAGCCTAGCAAGAAGAAGATTGAGAGGGTACATGATTTTAGTGAGCACGCTTGTTCATAAAATCCCATTTGTTGGGGGTAAAAACAAAGAAGTGAAAAGAGCTATTTAGAATGAATGATAGTATGGCTACATACTAAATCAATATAAGTGGATCTTCAAAGTCTTCCTGATTTTTACAATGGAAGAATAAATTACAACTTGCTTTAAATATTAAACAAGTTCATGAAATATCCTAAAGTTAGATTCCTGGCCCTTTAAAGCTTTGGATTTTTGATTTCTTTTAAAGTAGTGAAACTTCTTAAAACAAGATGTTGAATAGAATAGCGGAGACAAAGAACCAAACTGTTTTTCAGAATAGACCCTTCTGTGGTTATAGAAAAGACTTAGTACTGAGAAAACGTCTGATGTGAACATCTCTGATTTCAGCGCCCTTACAGCGTTAGTTACATAAATTTCTGCCATTGGAGTTTTGCTTGGTGATAGAAAGGGCAACATTGGTCTCGCCCAGTCTTACTCCCCCACTGTAAGCTCTCTATAGGGTTTTACCTTCTCGTGAAGCATTGAAGACTGATTGAAAGTTGAACTGGTCAGCTCTTCTGGTGCTCGTGCGAAGGGGTTTGGGCTGAACCAGTTTCTTACCCTGGTGCTTGGCACTGAGACAGGTTGCAAACTCTGGGGTCAAGAAGGAAATTTCTTTTGTGTCAGGCTGACCAGGCTATTCTTGCTTTCTTGGAGTAGTGACGACTGACGTTCACTGCCTCTATGTATCTGCATGTGAGCGTGAGGATCCAGAGTGTTAGCTATGCTCTTACTGTTGTCTTTCCTCCTATGGTAATTTTACATAAAAGACCAAAAATTAAAGCTTAAAATTAAAAAGCTTAAGCCTGTGCATAGGGTTTGAGGTAAGAGAATGGATGAATGGTCTTGTGAATCCTGTGGACTTTGATCATGTTTCATGATTGCAAATGCAGGGGACTGAACCTACTGATTCAGAGTGATGTCTTTCCGCCCTGTGTTTCTGAGTGAAGCTTTCTCCAAAACTGAACAGTGAGACAAATTAGGAGAGGATAAAACATTTTTTCAACTGTACTTCACACAAGATGCATGCCTTAAGGATTTCCAAGGAGGAGGCCAGTTGCGGAATAATGTGAATTTAACCACTAAATTATTCTTGGAAAACTCAACTTTAAAATTCTGTTGTGACCAGGTAGCTTAGTTTCTCGGAAGGGTGCAAAGGGTTCTCAGTTGTTTTCCTGCAAGAAAAATGTTTTAGGAGTGTACCACTTGTATTAGAAGTGGTACACTCCTCCAGCCAAGGACTTGAGATCTTTCAAAAGCCATAATCTAAGGCAGCTGTGAGATAGCTTTCGGCAAACTGTGGGAGGAGTGTTGTAGGCAGTATACGGATTTAATTGAAGACAAGATTAAGGAATTAACAGAAGCTTTTGTTGCCATAAGTATCAACTCCCATGTTGGTATGGCAAAAGGAGATAATGGGGTCTTGTCATTTCTTGTAGAAAGCAAGGGCAGCCTGTTCCGACACTCATGGTGGACACTGAAGGTGGCATTAGTGGTAAGATAGGACTTCATATCCAGAATAGCAGAGTCTTGAAAAACTGATTTCATGCTTGCCTTCATTTGGTGAGGAATAGGCAACCTCCAGGGAACTGTGATGGGCTGTTATGAGCAGGCAGCCTGATGGTGCTCTCCGTGATTTTAATACTGCCAGCAACGCAGCCTGGAGATGGGCTTTGAACTGGAGGGTGCAGAAAGGTGATGTGTGGGCACAAATTTCTAGCTTGGAAAAAAGCATCAGTGCCTATGTGTGTCCTTCCTGCCTTGCCTGTCTTCTCTGCCACTTTCCTGTTCCATCGGTGTTGGGATAAAGAAAGCCCTCTCTGTCATGGTCATCGTGTACTGTGCTGCTGAGGAGGATTAATAGTGCTGTCTGAAAGTGCTGTCAGACCCTGTGGGCATGGTGGGAATGAGACTAGAAAATGGTAATTTTCTTTTGATGGACTAAAATCTTACTATTTCTGAAATGGGCTTTGTTCCATTAGATTTAATTGAATTCTTAGTGCTTTATTGACAAGATCATAGTATGGCTACTGTTGCCTCTTCTTTTCTCGGCTCTGTTTTATTATCTTTCCCTTGTAATATCTAGTGAAAATCTAAGGTTATATTGGAAAAACAGATTACTCATATAGGAATTTGTACCAGCTGTGTAATCTGAGCCTCATAGTCTGACTCTTCTGCAGTGTATTTATTTTAACTGTTGAAATCCTGCTTTCAAACTTGCTGTGTTACCTGTGATTCAAATGTGAAAAGAAGAAGATTATGCTGGATCCAAGTTGAACTGCTAATGCGCACATGTAATGCAGTAGCTGCGTATGTATGCCAGGGCAGAGCTCCCTCTTACCCTTTTGAATCTAGCTGAAATAACTATCCCATGTTGCTTTGGTTTTGTAAAAGAAGTCTGAAAGCCAGAGGAGAAAAAAAAAATATATATGCAACAACTTTAAATATAATCTTACCTTAATTCTGGGAAGCTGGCTATCTTTTGACACCCTGACAAGCTGTTTGAAACTCACTAAATCTTTTAAAGTCTCTGGTTAAAATAAAAAGGAATAGCATCTTATTTCAGGACTGGCTTGCAAGGTTGCAATTGAAGAGATGGGTAGAGGATAATTTTGGTTTTTAACCTTGTTAGGAGTTTCTGAGATTCAGATGAAGTGAGTGGCCACCTCTCTGAGTTGTTCTAAAAGGAAATAAATGGAAACAACATTCCTCCCTTTTGGGAGTTGGAAATGTGGGAATTTTACATGGAAGTAAATGAGGGAGGAAATATTTGTAGTGAATTTTGGTTCTGGCATATATCTTTAAAGCCTGAGATTGTTACTAGATTTCATACTTGTGGTGGTGACATTAATTTCACTATTATTAGGCTCTTCCAGAAGGAGTAAAGAAAGGGTCATGTCAGCTGTGTAGGGGTTTTATAATCTCATGGCTGGTTGCAGATGCATCGTCTTTCACCCATCTGGAAATCTGCGGCTCTTAACACTTGTTAAAATAATGAGTTGTGTTCCTCAAAAAGTTGGGTAAGGGATAGCTTTAGATTGATATTTATAGCTGGTCTGTACTTGGACAGAAGCTTTTTTCATATGTCACAGCACTGAAGTAGCATATTTTTATCTTAAAATGTTGTATGCCACTCTTAGTCATATTATTTAAGATGATGGAAGGGTGTTACATAGGAGGGAGCATTTGAACAGAATTGAGTATCTTGATGTAGTTGCTTGGACAGGCTGGCAGCTGTGTTTGGGCTGTATTTAGCTATGAAGGTGTAGAGTGCTTGGGTGCTAAAAACTCTTCCAGGGCAAGATATTAATTGCTTAACGGTAAGCATGTGGATGGTTAACCAGTTGTAGGTATTGTTGAGTAGTTAAAATAGGAGTTTTAAAAAAAAAAAAAAGTTATTACAATAAAATTGAAACACTTCCCATGCTGGGGATACTCTGCAGTGATTGCCCAGCTGTGGGAGCAGGGAAGCTGTTGGCGGGATGATGCCACTGCATTGTCTTGGGATTTTGGTGCAAATCTCACCCCGCCCCATTTGGTAGCAGGCTCGATGGGGGTCACTGTCAGCTTTCACTTGTCAAGAGCTGTTTGAGATTCCTTTCTTCTTGTCTGAGACATGCTGGTTTTGTTTTGGCATTTGGCCATATGGATGCTTTTTCATACAAGTTTGGGAAGCCTCTGACACAGCAGTTAGTTATAACACAGTTTGCCTGCTTTTTGGTCATCTCCAGCTGGCTGTAAATCTTCAGCCCTGAGTACCTAGCATTTTCTAAAACTAAATCCTAGCTGTTCACCAAATGTTTCTGAAATGCAAAGAGATCCAAGAATAATAATGTGGATTCCAAAACTTGCTGCTGTGTAGGAACTGTGGTACTGGAAGCAAAATGCTGCCCCAGAAAGAGGGGGGGCAAAATCCAAAATTTACTCCTGACTATATGCAGACATTACTTTTATGCTTTCCAAATGCCTTCAGGAGGAATTTCTCTAGCTGTGTAAAGTGGCCTTTGCTTTTCATAGTTAACCAATTGCATTGTTACTATCTGAAACCCAAATTCTTTCCTCCTGCACCAGATGCAGACCCACAGGCTATGAAACATTGAAGCGTTTTACTAAGCTGTGCCTTGCTTTGAATGCAAACCAGGGCATATCCAGCCAGGTCATCCCTCCGAGTTGTTTACAGTCCCATGAGCTGTGGCATTTCCTTGTGTGTTTACTGTACTTTCTGCTGCTTTCTGCTTAACTCCTACACGCACACAATCAAAGCTTTTGCTGAAGCTTTGAAAGCATTGTAGTTTGTGAAATAACTGCAGTCCTGAATGTAATAACGAAGGCATGCTAAATTTGCCTCTCCAGAGGATTCTGGCATGTTAGAACACTTGTACAACTGGAAATAAGGACCACAGTGTTATTTCCCAGCTCCTTCTCCCTGCACAAGCCCCTCTACCCTGATACCACGTGGTAGCCATACTCGGAGGTAGCTGCATGCAATCTTAATTGCTGGCTATGTTTTGGCAAACACATTTTGTTTTCAAGCCTTAGATTGGCTTGCCCAGGAGTCCTCACAGCCCCTTACAAGAAATGCTGTGTGGTGTTAAAGTCAGACCATCTTCTCCCCTTGTGCAGGTGACTTGATGAAGAGCGCTTCGGGGGAGTTTGCAGATGACCCCTGCTCCTCTGTGAAACGAGGGAACATGGTCCGAGCGGCGCGCGCCCTCCTCTCCGCTGTTACTCGACTGCTGATTTTGGCCGACATGGCAGATGTCTACAAGCTGCTTGTTCAACTTAAAGTAGTAAGTGTAGTTCTTTGCTGTGGTTCACTTTGCCATGCCTGGCACGCCGGGCGTGCTCTGTCAGGCGGCTTAGTTTCATGCATGTGTGCTGACCCTGGCGTGTGCACTGTCAGCGGTTCACTTCTGGAGCAGGGAGGTTGTTAGGGTTTTTCCTCTGAGCAAAATGTGTGCAGTGGAAGTTTGTCACTTGTTTTTATGCTCACTGTCAGTAGCTTTTGACATTGTGTTGCACTTTATTCTGAACTTTCAGTATTGAAACTAAATGCACTATGGTCTGCAACTGCAGGTGATAACCAGCTTTTTTCATCTTAGAAATGATTTGGCTTTCTTATAACCAGTGCTCCCTCATAGCTACTAGGGATGAGTAGCTTCAGTAGACTAAATAAAATGAACGTGGAATATTTGAGGAAACCTTTTCTTCCCACGAGCAAGAGGGTGGGTGGGTGGTTTGTACAGAATTTGAAATGAAATGAGATTCAATACTGGGCCCGCTTTTGTGGCAGGGCTTTGAGGACGCTCCTCATGCCCTTCAATGGCCACTGCGAGAGCTCTGCCAGGGCCCTGGGCTCCTTCATGCTCTTTCAAATGCGGGTACTTGGCTGTCTCTGGTAGCTAAGCCTCCAGTACTATTAGCCTTTGAAGTATCTCTCTCCAAAAAATAAAAGGGGGCAGAGGAAGATTGCTTTCTCTGTCTGCTCTGAAGTACATTCTGAATTACTTCCTGAACTGTGGACTGTATTACTTGGAAAAATATGTGAATATAATTCTTTTAGGTGGAAGAAGGTATCTTGAAACTAAGAAATGCTGGCACAGAGCAAGATTTGGGTATCCAGTACAAAGCCCTCAAACCAGAAGTGGACAAGCTTAACATAATGGCAGCCAAAAGACAACAGGTATAGTGATGGCAGCTCTTGCTTCTGTATATTATTTATTCTTTTTCAAAATAAGAAAATAAGGCACCCTTTCCAGTCTTGGACAGCACCCATTGCTGCTAATACTTTTTTTTTCTTTTGTGTTGCACTCTGCCATGTTTAGAAAATTTGAGCTTGCCTGGTAAGCGGAACGTCTGCTCAGCTGTAGTGTACTGCTGCTGACGGAATTTATTCTAGTAGCGTTTGTTTATGTTAATGCTTTAGTACCTTAATGAAATGCTGCTTCCCATTTCAAAGCAGTGCAGGTGTGGGTAAGGAAAGAGAATTGAGATACGAGTTGGTGCCTGGTGCGCTCACCACTAGACCACACTGCCTCTGTGGTTTGCACAGATGGACTGAATGTGTCCGTGTGTCTGTTTAAACAGGGAGCAGAAGTCACGGCTGGGCAGAGAGTTATAATTCTTTCCAGGAAAGTGAGTGGCGATGCTGACTAGTCTTGCACTGAAATGTCCATTTGAGAAGGTGTTTAAAATCCTGTTTGTTACGTGTGTGTTCTCTGTTTGGACAGCTTATGTTTAACCTTCAATCGTGTGTAAAATTTGTTTTGTTCAACAGCACTGTTGTGACTCATTCTTGTGTAGGTAAGTTTTCAAAAGAAAGCAGAGGTGTGGTCATTTATCAGAAATAGCATAATTCTTGTAAAGCATTTTTTGTTTGTTTGTTCTGCTGATATGTACAAACGAAAACTGCTTATGCACCTCTGATACATCTTGGGTTTTTTTGCACCAATTCATCTTTGAAAATAAACTGGGTACAGTCTAAAATGGATTGCCAGTTGGTTATGTATCTAAAATCTGATTGCAGTAAATGGGAGTAGGGTTGTGATGGCAATGCAATAAATGTTCTTAAACTGCTTTGTGATGGATTGTTCCACGCTATGGGAAGTGGTTGTATTAAATCTGTAAATCTGTAAGCCTGCTTAGAATGCCCTCCCTGCTTAGTGTGCATCTTAGAGGTCGCATATTACCCATTAATTCTGAAGAGTCTGTCAGATTTTTTCCCCTTCTCTCAGCAAGACAGCCCACTTCTTCATTTTCTCACCTCTACGTAAGATTTAAGAGGTAACTTTAAAATGTTCATACTCCTAATAACTGTGTTCATTCTTCCTTTCATAAACTTACTGCTTGTGATGGACTCAGAAGCTTTATCTATTCATAGTGCTTCTGTTCCAAAACAGAGGTGATGGGGCTTTAGAGAATTGCAGCAGTGAGTGTTTGGAAAAGACCTGTGGACTTGCTAATCTTAAACTAGTGGTAGTTATAGTCATTGGATTAATTTTGTCTGATTAGAGGTGAACAAGAAGTTGAACAAGATGATGTACTTGTTCTTCTAAAATTAAGTACCTGAGTCTCTTGAGGAGAGTAAACTCCATCTTCTAGGTGTGATTAAAGAAAACATTCTGGTTGTGAGTCTTGGAGTTTAAATTAAAGAAGAACATGCTTCTTATGTGCAACTACAAGACAAGATTGCAGGGGAAGCCTCCTGTTTGTTTGATAGTTAAAAATTGCCTTGGTTCTTAAGTTATCTAAAAATGTAAGGTATTCTGTTTTGAGGACTTGGGTTTCTTTGTGATTCTGTAGATGTAATGTAAACTGGAAGGAGTGGGGAGAAAAGGAGAAAAGTGTGTGCTTGCAACTTCTGTGCATGTCCATGTGATTTACAGCTTTCAAAATGCTGGTCCTCTACTGTAGTGAGGAGCAGAAGTCCAGCTTCAGATTTTGAATTGTGGCGTTGAGACTTGCCCTACAGTACTACTTTTTTTTTTTGTCTTCATGAAGCTGTTGTGTTTTGAAATTAGTTGAGCTCTTAAGAATAGGGATAGTCAATCAGAAGATAGTTAGGTCTGAGCATGCTAGGCAAAGAACCTGCCTTTTTTTGAAGATGCAGTGAGACAGTGTATGGATGGTAAATGTGGGGAATGTTCTCAAATGCTTTTTTTCTTTTAATTTTCCTAATAGGAATTGAAAGATGTGGGTCACCGTGATCAAATGGCGGCAGCCAGAGGAATTCTGCAGAAGAACGTTCCCATTCTTTATACTGCATCGCAGGCCTGTCTGCAGCACCCTGATGTAGCTGCTTACAAAGCCAACAGGGACTTGATCTACAAGCAGCTTCAGCAAGCGGTCACGGGCATCTCAAACGCAGCTCAAGCAACTGCATCAGATGATGCTGCCCAGCAGCAGGGTGGAGGTGGAGAGCTGGCTTATGCTCTGAACAACTTTGATGTAAGTTTTGAACCCCTTATGAAAAAAAAAAAAAGTAGTAACTCCAACTCTTGTGTTTGTTCACCTGATTTACTAGCAACAGCTTGCTTTTATTTATATTGCCTGGAAGATCATTTTCTACCGAAATACAGCAAGTCCCAGGTGAAGTAGGCTTTTATTTTTTAAAAAGTCTTTTTCCAAACTAGGATTGATGGCTTATAGAAAGTTATATATGCAGTTCTTGGTGATTGAAGGCTGTCAAGTTAAACTAGCTCTGAAATAGCAGTTAGCCTACTGCTACATTAGATGTAAGCCCTTGGTTTATTTGAAATTGATTATTTCATAATATATTTATGTAATATATTCTTGTAGGTGACAGAAATGACTTATTAAAAGTGAATAATGTATTTGGAATTGCCCAAACTACCTATTGAGAGGAACATGAAGTGGGAAGTTTAATATGATCTTTGGTTGGGAATGAAGTCTTTTCACATTGATGTGTTGTACTGATCTGTCATATTCTTTATCTTGCATTCAGCAAGTTACTGAGGATAGCCATGCATTTTTACTGAGAACACTTTCCTTTTGAAGCCAGTATTCTGTGTCTACCACCGATTCAGCCTCTGAATTTTAAACACCTTGGCACTAACTTACCTCTAAAACTTTATTTAATATTGCAAAGCCATCACTCAAAAGGTGTTTCATACTTTTGTTTTTGCCAGATACTGCTCATCTCCTTTTTGCTCTTGCTTCTCCCCTATGTCACTTTCTCTGCCATGTTTTCTTACCAGGATAAAGTACTAGTTGAGTTCTCTCTGTCCGGTGTGAAGCCTTTCTATGTGATCTCTTGGGTAACGAGATGATGTCATGGTTGTCTTGATCTTTGTGACTATAATTTCAGTGTTAAGTCTGCTTTTCTTAAATTCCATCAGTTGTATGTTCAGCTGTGTAAGTCTTAAGAAGGTACCTCAGGCTAGCACCCAAGGGATTGCAGCTTTGCGCGGGTGTCTGTGGGAGGCGAAGGCAGGTCCTGTAACAGCACACGATATTAAGGACTGACTTGAGTACGAAGAATTGAAGCAGCAGCTCAGTTCAGGTTCATGGATTAGCTAATTTAGCTCAAACCATTTAACGTGATTTCTGATGTATGGCCATATTTTACTATATGAACTCTCTAATATATGGTTGGAGACTTTTTTGAATGTTGCAGTTCACATGGAGCTTTTGAGCTTTTGGTTCAGCTTTGTGAGGCGCTCTAAAAAAAAAATTCAGCAGGCCAGCTTCAATGCGCGTTGTGTGCAATAGCTTTGTCATCTCATTCCTGCCAAAAGAGACTGACAAAACAAATGTGTTCAGGTTCTTGGCAGATGTTATCCCTGCACTTCATTTCCTGCTAACGTTTGTGTGTTACTGCACTCTTGTAATAGAGGCTTTGCACACACACGCCCCCAAACACTCCAGTGTTTTTACTGTGATGGTAAAATATTAAATGGCTACCAGAAGATAACAAGATAGTGATTATCTCTGTTTTTGATGGTGCAGTTCTGGAGTTGTAGCATACTACCATTGTGCTATCTGCACAGCTAAAAGTTTCAGGAAAAACGAGGAGCGTGTTGGAGAACACATGCCATGTTCTAATCCTGCCATCAAGGCTGTGTGGTTGCTCTGGAAGGAGACAAAATGTGCTGGCGGGTGGGAGAAGTAGTGGTTGTGACATTGCTTTTGAAGTTAGCTGGCATAAAAACTGATTGTGAAAACTCCCATTCCAAAAAACTTGGGGGCTGCTTTTACAAAGCGTTAGGAACATCTTCCCCTCCTGCCCCTGTAGTGGGAAGAAAAGCCACCCAAACCCTAAACAAACCACCAAACCTTGAAATGGCTAAATAATTTTTCCTTAATAAATTGCAAACCTGTTTAAATAAACCACCTGAAAGTACTCACAAGGTGATAAATACTACACTGCTTCTTCCTGGTGAACTTCTGTGGGTGGTGGTATTGACCCCTTGAACAGCAGATACATCAGTACCGCTGTTTCAGCCTTCAGTCTCTCAGTATGAGCTGTGCTTAGTAATGCTCTGCCAAGATGAACCTGTGATAGTTTTCTGCCATGAAGAAACTGATTTCTGTGCTGTTTGAAACATTCGTGTTGATATTTGAGACTTTTTGAGAACGCTGTTGTATTTACCTGCATAACAGTGAAGAGAAGAAAGACTGGATAAACTAGGACAACAGAGCACTATATGTAAGGCTAATTTTGGACATTTGTTTTCCTTGGGTTTTTTTATTCATGGTGGGATAATTATATCTGACAAGCTAACTAGTGAAGGCATGTCTGCATTGACATGTAGTTAAGAAGAGTTCTGTACTTTGAACCTTATTTGTGCTGGCATGTTTGATTTTTTGCCATTCATATAACGAGGCTTCCTGTGGCCAAGTTTTGTTTAGCTGTCAAAGCAGCACAAGAAATGACTAGCAATGTAATCTGTTGGGGAACCTTTCCGTAATTTTACAAAACCACTTGTGAAAATCATCCTCGGTGCCAAAATGGTGTGGTGTTTGCCTTTTATGCCTGATGGGGGGGTTGCTGTAAATGTCGGTTGTCTTGATGACTCAACAGTAACTTACTGCTTGGTCTGATTACTAACTTCCAAACCCTTTACTTTACTAGAAACAAATTATTGTGGATCCATCAACCTTCAGTGAAGAACGTTTTAGGCCTTCCCTGGAAGAGCGCCTGGAGAGCATCATTAGCGGAGCAGCCCTGATGGCTGATTCATCCTGCACACGTGATGACCGACGGGAACGTATAGTTGCCGAGTGTAATGCAGTGCGACAGGCCTTGCAGGATCTACTTTCAGAATACATGGGGAATGTGAGTATCTTCCGTTCTGTCTTAGTTTGTGTGGTTTTTAACTCCATGTGATTATCTAAAATGTGGAATCGAAGCTGTGTGTCTCGAAGCTGGTTTGTTCTGTTCCCGAACAGAATTTGAACAGTAACCGGTAGTCCTGAAAGGTTTGTCAAGAGGCAGGATCAAACATACATAAATTGTCAGTCATACTTATCTTAAAATTGATCTCTAAATCTTACAAGCAACTATTATCATCATAAAGGGTTAACCCTTTAGGCACTCTTTATTTTATGACTGTTAATACTGGTTTGTGTAGAAATTCAACAGAATTAGTCTGGTTTTCTGCCTCTGTTTACATAAGATAACATGGCTTATGGAAAAAGTAGTACTTCACTTCTGTTGAAGCTTGGAAAGTTTAACTGTGTCATCTTTTTAGCTAAAGGCATAGATTCTCAGAATCAAGTTAATTACTGTTGCTACTCAGTTTGAGTAGAGGTGGTGTATGAAGTTAAATATTCAGGAAGAAATCCCAAGAACAGTTTGGTATAAGTATTGGACTTTGAGCAGTTTTCCTCCAGTGTTTAGGCATTTAATGTGCACGCAGTATTTGAAGCTTGAGAGTGTTTCTCCGGTTGGAGTGTCATGTCATGCAGATGAGCTTCTGTGTTTGAGGGCATCATGATATAATATTGGACTTCCCTCCCCCTCTTTGTCCTTATCCCTGTGGGTTTTAATCTGAATCGCTCTTGCTGTGTTAAGAGATGAGGTTGGGATATCATAAGATTTAGACTATGTCTAGTCTTTAAGCTTATACTGTTAAAGCTGATTTCAGATTAAAAGTTGCAGAAGTGGCAACAACTTAAGCCAACTACATGGCTTATAGCACTATGGCAAGTAAAATTGGCTGAAGAAATCTTAATGGGATGAGATGAAGCCTTATTTATGCTTTTGAGCATGTTTGAGGTAAAACTTAGTTCAGAGATACCTTTTTTTTCTTTTTTTAAATTAGAATTTATTTAGCAATGCCTCTGTGTTATGTACTTTACTGTTAAATCTCTTGGCAAAAACTACTTCAGTGTAGAGTAAAACTGGTCCAAAGGCTGCTGTGTGTGGATTGGGTTGGTATAAATTGGAGAACAGATGCAGTGTGTGGTAGGGAAAAAGTAAAACAAGGATTTCTCTTTACCAAAGACAAGGACAACGTAATTGAACAAAACTGAAAGCTGAGGTTTATATAGCCTGCGGGCTGAGCTAGGTACTTCATGTAGGCTGTCTTGATTGCCTGTGAAAGTAGCTCGCTCTCAGCATTGACGTTATAGAGAACTGAAGGCTACAGCTGGGAAGCAAACCCCTAAGTTGTGCCATTTAAAACTCCTTTCAGAGCAGGGTGCTTTATTAGTATATGATGCATCTATAATAATCCCTCAAACAAATGTCCTGCTGGATTGGATGAGGTCCTATTGGCATGATTCAGAATAAAACAGCCACCAAATGTGGAAGAGGTAAATGCTTGGGCTTGCACCTAAGAGTTGGTGGCATTTCTCTCCTTGAAAGTTGGTCGATACCTGTGCATGATTGCAGAGCTCTGGCTTCCTTTTGCAGAAATGCCTCCCCTCCTCCTCGGCCATGTACTGTTGTCTCTGATATGGAAGTTAAAATAATCATGCTGAGTTGGAAAGAATGTATTCCCTGTGTTATCTCTTTTAACACATTGTGAAATTAGTGGAGCATACTGAATTTTTTAAAGTCACTGCTATGTTACGATTGTAGACAGTGTAGTTGGGGAAATGAGATTAGAAATGCAGTGAAATGGAGTGGAAAAAGCAATTGATAAATTATGGTGAAAATGTGGGATGGTGTGTAAAAATCCATACTGAGGGTAGAAAAAAAACCCCCATCAATGGTTAAGCTAAAGAATGAATAATAGTTGGGACTCTAAACAGTGAAAAAGGTTTGATGCATCTACAGGAAGAGTAGGGATGTGCTGACTTACAGTAGTGGTAGAGGAAATGTCATATCATGTATATGTATGATATACCCACAGCTACAGTGCCCAGCCAGCGCCTGTTGTGCTTTTCTCCTTTGCAGAAGGAAGTGAATCAGGCATTAAGTCTGTTAATTGCACAGCACTTGCAGTGCATCATAAATCTTATCTGAGTGCTGGAATAAGAGGTATTTATTGGCCAAGTGCAAAAATTCAGAGAGAAGATTGGATGAGGAATACACTGGAAAGGTTGAAGCAGGGGAATGTCTTGAGGCAGATTCCTTTTTGCTTTTAAATGCCTTCTGGTTTAGTGACTTCCTCTAGCTCCTGGTTTTCTTTTAGATCTCTGGCAATAAAAAGGCTGTTTCCTAGATAGTTTGTAACTCAAAGTTTAGTGCTTTGGACCCATGGTTTAACTGTCTCTCTGGGCCTGTCCCCAAGGGTCTGTAGGGCTGCAGGCATTGCAGGCTGTGTTACGATGTGTGACAGAAGTTTCTATCTGAGTAACGGTTTTCAGTAACTGAATTGTGGGATCTCTTGACCCCTCCTGCATCTGCTGCCGTGGTGATGAAGCCTGTGATTGTGCCCTGAAAAGAAGGGCAAGATTTGCTTGTTAGAGCTTGTTACAGAAGTTTGCATCCCCTTTCCTTAGATTGGTGCGTGTGTGTGATTTCCTTTTCCATCTGGCACACCTATCCTGCCATTTTCAAGGGTAGCCTGACTTGGGCACAGTAAATGTTGTACACCAAGGCCAGTATCCTGGCTTGACAGTGGTCAATAGTGGCTGCCCACAAGGAAGAGGACAGTAACAAGGCAGGTATGTAATTTTACTTGCCTGAAGTATCCCCCAAGCGCTAGGAGTCTGCAGCTCAGATCCAGAGCTAGTGTTGCTGACTGCATTTAATGGCTCTTGGTGGACTCTTCCCCAATGAATCTGTATAGTTTCTTTCTGTGCCCTTATAATCTAAAAGCATCTGTAATCTTTGTTAGCAAGGAGTTCTGCTTAAATAAGTGCTGTGTGAAGAAAGGTCTCCTTTTGTTTTGAAGCAGAATGACCTTCTGCCTGTTCTGTTGGAAGTTTCCTCCATCTCATTTAGGAAAAAACCCTTAGCAGTTACTCCTTGCTCATCCTTTTCTATGCCACTTGCGTTGTTTGAGAGCCATAGGAGACTTCAGTCTTATCTGCCTCAGAATGAAGTGTCCTAGTTTTATTAGGTGCTTGCTGTAAACAAGATGTTCAACACCACCTCTCAGCTTTGGCTGTGCCCTTGTCATCACACAGCATGGTGGATTAGGATGGCATTTGTAGAGTGAATTAGTACTCCATGCCTATGCTTATCTGCATTTCATAGAAGTTTGCGTCAGCTGGTTTTAGCCTACTCCTGTGGACTGGGTGCTAGTTAGCATTTGATGTGGTACTGGCTGTCTCCTTGTTTAGATTCACTCAGAATCTAGCTTGTGGCCCAAGAAGGCTCAGAGATGAGAATCACAGTGCATGAAGTGGCAGTGACTGGGACATGAGTTTCAAAAGTTTGCTTCTGATCTGAGCCCAAATGCTGGCGTAAACACGTTTTGCAGTCTCCTCCTGTGCCTCTGGATCTTCAGATTCCCTTTGAGATTTGGGGACCAGAACTGCATCTGCTGCTCGGGATTCAGGCAGTGTCATGGTATCTTCTGGTTTTGTTCTTTAGGCCTGTACTACCAATGCCTAACACTTGATTTGCTTTCTGATAGCTGCTGAGCACTGAGGTGGTATCTCGATGAAACGGCTACCATCAAGATTTAGCTTCTGAGTCATAGTGGTAGGAGTCTGTTTCTGTGAATGTTAAGCTGGATCATCTTTCCCTTGGGTGTTGCTTATTACCCATGTCCACTGAACTTCATCTGCCGCTTTATTACCTAGCCTCTTGGTTTATAAGCCACATTCTCTAAAATGCCAGCTGCTCGTCCCTTAATTGGAGCATCTGATTCTTTAGCTTTTCCTCCCTCATCTTCCACTTTGCCTAGGGAGAGCTGGTTTCCATTATGGTTTTTGCTAACTTCTCACAATGCCAACAGAAAATAGTTTTCCTTTTTTAAACTTGCATTACAGGTCCCTCCTGGATTGAAATAGCGAACACAAATGTCTCCCTGTGTTTGGTTGTTATTATTTAGAGTAAGCTTGATTCTTACTGCTAGTGCTGAATGGCAAAGCAAGGATGGGAATGCCTAAAAAAAAAAAAAATAAATTCATTATTGATTCTGACCAGTGTTGTTAAAGCGGAGTAGTCCAAGGTCTTGGATCTGGGGTCAACTGCCTGGAATGCAATAAACTGACCACATCAGTCGTAGCTAAGTTTGTAATATAACTAATTGATGGCAAGATCCAGATCTCTGTGTGATCTATTGCAGTTGTGCATTCTTGGTGTGTACTTCATTAATTAAATGAAAAAATTTCAAAGCATATTTGTATTTAATTGGACATCAATACCAGACTTAAGCAGGGGAAGAGGACAGAACAAAGCATCTACTTGAATGATGTTCAAGATTAATAGTGCACCAGTGAAGAAGTTGGTAAGAAAGCTAGGATCCTGTGTACAGCAACATAACAAAATACAGTAGAAACAGTCTTTGGCATCTGACTCCATAATCTCATGTGGGTAAACACTGACCGGTTGCAATTTGCTCCAAATAAAAAGTATGAAGCAGAACATTTTTTTGACACTATGCCAATTTATCCCAGTGTTGCCTCTGCACTAGCGGCTGATGTGATACCTTGCCGAGTGTAGACAGCAGGTACAATTCTTGTCAATGTCTCTGTTCTGTATGGTACCAGTCAGCTCTTCCTCAAATTTATACGTGTAGTTTTCATTGCAGTTACATTATCTAAACTACTTAAAGCGAATGCATAAAAAAAGAACAATGGGCTGACAGAGCTGAAATATTTCTGCGTCTGGGAAGCTGGTGCGTAGAATGGCGAGGTAAGAAAATGTGTCTACAGGCACAAAAATCCACAAACTTGTAAGTCGTGAGAGGGTACGTGCTCTGTGCTGTAACT